TCATCTTTTTGCGGAGGCCACTCATCCTTCAGGACTCCCTGGACCCCGCTAGGGCAGGACCCCAGCAATGCTGTCTACCTACAGTTGAACAATTCTGTACTCTTTCAGAATTTCACGGTTACAAATTCTGTCAATCTGGCAAGCGTTTCTGTAAGTTTGAGATCGTTTCAAAATAAAGATTATTTTTAGTTATAAAAATAATTCAACTGAGAATTGTCTGTCATAGATGGCTGGATTAAGAGATCTTGTACCAAATTGGTCATTAGTCTTGCAATGGAGTTTCAAAGTCATGTGGACAGAATGATTGAAAATGGAATCCTCGAAATCAAGGGTTGGTAAACTTTTTCTTTATAAAGGGCCAAATAGGAGACATTTTAGATTTTGAGGGCCATAAAGTCCTAATCACAACTCAACTCTACCAGTACAGTATAAATGCAGCCACAGACAATAAACTAACCTGAGCCTTTATTCTAATAAAACTTTATGAACACTGAAATTTAAAGTTCACATAATATTTGTTGTCACAAAACATTTTCCCACTTAAAAGCAAAAATCTGTCCTCAGCTCAAGGGTAATATAAAAATAGGTGAATAGGGCTGATGGGCCTTATAATGTGAATTATTTTAGTATTTAAATGGTTTTACATGTTCTATCATTAAACAGCATAATAAAAAATAATCTGTGAATACGAGCCTTAAAACTTTAGAGAATTTGCTAGATAGCTAGAAGGTGAATGGGGTCTGATCAGGTAGATTCATGACACATCTGGCTCCTAATGTCACACATTTCTTCCAGCAAGTGGTGCCTAATTTCAGCCCAGTCACAAACTGCCTCAACTTAACCCACAGATAAACCCGTATGAGAGTTCCAGTGAAGTTCACTTGGTGTTCAAAAAATAAGTGATTTGTTTCAAAAGGGTTTTCCATAAAAATGTTCTGCTTACCTTAGTATAGTGAAGGGACATGATTGATACATTTCTGCACACTCCGGGGTTAAAGGGAGGGTCTAGACACAATATTACAAAGTTATAATATTTCAGAAATTTGAGAGTCAATTGGAATATATTAGAAGGAAGGTGAATAACAGAACCCAAAGCAATAGTTAATTGGGAAAGAAAAAAGATGGATAATTCATTAATTATGTAACAAATGTTAGGTAAGATTTACAGTCTAGAAAATCATGATTTCACTAATTAAAAGAAAAAAAAGGGAATATGTGAGGGGTGACTAATTGGTAAAGAAGAGTTCAAAGACATTTGATTTTTAACAATTTTCCACCTACTCAAATTTAAAGATTGAAAATTCTCTTCCAAATAACTCACTGGGACATTATAGATATTTATCTTTTTCCAACACCTTAATGATACACTGATTGATAAGATTATAATGGACATATCATTGGAAGAGATATCACTTTTGACATTAGTCATTGAATCCTTGAGCAGAAAGACCACTGACTTTATAAACTCCGAGTGATAGAAGTGAAAGGTTTTTATTTTATAAAGTTGTCAAAGTTTCTATAAAATCAGAGTTTTGTTTTGTTTTTTGACTCCCCCAGTTATCCTGCTGATGTAGAGTACTAACACACTGTCTTTCCTTTCATGGAACAGAAATCCCAATCTCTGAGGCACTGGAAAGACTATTACTCAGATTGAAAAAAGCAGTTCTGATCAAGGGATGTGGTTTTGCCTCTTGAGTAGAAATGAGCAGATAACATCCTTGTCCTTCTGCTACTGAAAGCAATTTAAGAGATTTCCTGAGAAATGGGAAGTGCCACTCAAAGATCTGAGAAATTTGACTGATGAAAATGAGCAATGAGTGCAAACTATTAACAATGATGTGTTGGTCAAATAAATTCAGGGACAGACCAGAGGAAGTACTGAATTTTATTGTTTAATAAATTTTAATCCTTTGGAAAAATTTCTCATTTGACATCAAGTCATATTTATGCAGACATTTGAATAAAGTTTATCTACCCATGGTGGGGGGGAAGAAAGCAGTTCTGGTGGGGGAGGGGGAATGGGCTGGCTTCACCACAGAGTCCTTTATCCCTGGCAGCTGGGACATAAAGGAGCTCACAGAGGGAAGATACTGTGCCATGCAGGCGAGAAAACTCAAAAAAGACGAGCAGCACAGATTAGAGCCACACGTGACCAAACACAGATTGAGAATGATTTATTAGAGTCCAATTAGTATGCTTTTAATCTCAAATAGTCCATATTTCCTCCATAAAAATAGGCACATCAGTAAAAGTCCAAGTTCACTTCTTTCACTTCTTCCAGTATAAGATGTTCTGTACTTTTGGTAAAGTATGTGCAACCAACACCTTTCTGCTGACTGGTTCCCCACATTCTTTTCACTGTGGGCACTTTTCAAGTCTATCCTCTCAAGCGCTGACCACGCACAAACCAACTCCCTCCTTCCAAGACAGTCAGTCTCCTTCAGGAGTTCTTTCTCTTAGACGTCCTCCTGACTTCCCCATACCTGCTTCAAGATCATGTTACTTCCTCATCACTTGTTACAACAAACTGATGCAATCACTTCTTGACCTTGAGAATGTATTAAACGGGTGTCACCTAAGATGGCAGCAGGTGAATCCTGGAGAATACACAGTGGCCAAGTCACATATGGACACACTCAATCCCTTTGCCATATAGACAGAAGGGCCCCAAGCTACATAACACACCAATCCTTTATTCACCCAGCACATTTGATTTCTTTGCATTTTCTTTAATTCTACATTACATTTGTGGCCACCAAAAGAGGAAAAAAAATGGTTCCTTAGCAAACTTTGGAATTGATAGGTACATTAGGGTGTCTTGGTTATTGTAACACTTGAATGTTCCTAATCCATCTTGTAATATGAATAAAAGTCATCTCAACTAAAKTAACCACTGCATTTCTTTTGTAAGAAGGTAATTTAACTGGCTTTCCTCACAATTGCTACCATGTGCTACAAAAGCAGGAAACCCCTTTTTACAAAAGGTAAAAGCATAAGAAGATACTTCACATTTTTTTAAAAAAAAAATCCTTCATGGGAATAGGTCCCAAGTAAATAATCAATTATATGGACAAAGTTTTATGTACACATTTTTTTTGCAACTTTATAATAGTGAAAATTAGAAATAACGTAAATAGTCAACAATATGGGATTGGTTAAATGAACCGAGTTGCATCCATTAAATGGAATATTATATAGTCACTAAAATTTTTTTGTTAAAAATTTTAATGCCATAGTAAAATCTGGCAATTCTGCAATTTAAAAAGCTAGTTTTAAATCTGTTTACAGTACAATCCCAGTTACATAAAAAAGTATACAATATAYACATAGGCATAAGTGGGAGAACTGTTAAAGAATGTTACTTCTGGATTGTGATATTATTGGTAATCATTTTTTTCCTTTTTTATACATTTATGCAATTTTCAAGTTTTCTACAACAATTATGTATTATTTTATCTCAGAAAAAATGGGCTATTAAAAATTTCCTCTGATGTACTGGCAATAAGAATGTACTTGTATATTTTAAATATGCAGAAAAAAATTATTGTGCTTCATCTTCTATGACTTTAGAGTACATATTCTTTTGGCAATAAACTGATATTCCCTGTTTTATACTTGTCACAACACTTTAATAAAAACGTAATATTGTGATTAGAACATTGTTTCTTTCATAGTCTAAACAAATACTGGTTTTGACAACTAGGTTCTTCTATTTCCTAGAAGATTTAAAATTAGTATTCTTTTATCTTTTTAAGTAAAGCATACTGCATACATACATTACATGCATGCTTTCTAAATAAAAAATAATAATTCTAATTTACAATTTTCCTACATAGGAAAAAAATGAAATTATGGTAGTTTAATAGACWATAGTCTTATCCATCACAAACATGCTGATAGACATAAATGTGTTTATTAAATGAAATGCATCTTGAAAAATAAAAAAGGGAAGGCTGTATGTAAATGAAGTTGTGGATTCAATTTGTCAGAATTTATTCTGACTTGCACCAAACCACACAGAATCTTTTCAAGTCTAGTTAGTGTYGTCTGAATGGACACTCCAGAGTCCATTTCTCAATTCCATTGCAGGAACTCTACTTTCTACCTTCAAAAGGAATGGGGTCAGGATGAGGGTTGTCACATAAACTAATTTTCAATATACATCAAGTCTCCTGGGGTCTAGAAACAAATACTGCCATTAGTTAGTGTTTAAGTACCAGAGTTTCTTTCCCTCCTCTCTCACTCCCCACCCTGCCTGGCAATCGGGTGTGGGGAGGCCGTTCATCTCTCCATAGAGGACAGCTGGCTTTGCATCTTAGTTTCCTTTCTAAACCACTGAGTGGTCATTGCTGTGAACTCCAGCCAAGATGGTGTGGTTGAGGGAGGAAGCCGAGCGGTCTGAGCCTTCCGTGGGGCCGTTGGTGTTCTCATTGCGCTGACAACAGAGGATCTGTCTGAAGGTGGCACTCATCTCCTTGTCCCGGTAGGAGTAGATAATGGGGTTCATGGCAGAGTTGAATTCGGCAAGGAGGAGGAAAAATTTCTCATAAGCCAGAACGTCGCACTGTGGACAACACACATCTAGCAGTAACAAGACCAATCCCGGAGTCCAGCAGATGATGAAGGCACCTATGAGGACAGGGTGAGAGACCAGAGGATTAAAAAAAAGAGAATAAAAAATTATGAAATGATTTCAGTTCAATATGAAAATACTGAGCTTGGAAGTCACTAATCATCAAAAAAAATAATGATAAAATAATTGACTTAGTAACATTTCATTAATTCATATCCTGCTAAAATTGAGTATGGAGACAATGATGGTGATTATTTTTAGCAAAACACAAGTTTGATAAGCAACTGAGATATTCAGGATCTACCATCTCTTATAAAGACATGGTTCTTAATAGCAATGGAGCGTTTTCAGGCAAAAGATATGACAAATGTCCTTTAATGTGTAGCTAAGGCACACTTTCTGATTTCAGTTTGCCTGGGCTCAAGTGCCTGCTTAGCTGTTTAATGAACTGGGTAAACTTAGGTGAATTACTTTTTCACCCCACTTTTCTCATCTGAAAAATAGAGATGATTATATTTTACCACATGAGATTTGTTGTAAGAATTAAATGAATGTTAAGAAAATAATTGCCTATATAAATTTACAGTGACAATAATAATATTGTTATTACCTGCTCAGTTAAATGGTCCTGGTTGAAAATAATATTTTTCAAGCATAGAATGTACATTTTATTTTTATTCAGCAATCATTTATAGATTGCTTGATATATGCTTTCCAAATAACAACTCACTTAATCTTTACAACTGCCATATAACATTTTGACTAATAAACACCTTTGTACAGAAGAAGAAACTGAGGCCTAAAAAGTTTAAATACCTTGCTCAAGGCTATAGGATGGAAAGTGGCAGACAGGAGACAAATTCCAGCCTTTCTGCTCCTAGAGGATGTCCATGGTTCTAGAAAATACTACCTTATTTTTCCATTTCTTGAAACTAATAGAATTGAATATTTTAAACCAAATTCTATGTTTCAATTGATCAGCTTTGTTCTCTTTCTTTCCCCAATTATTCTGAATTAAGATTTTACTATAATCCTAAAGGGAATGGAAATGTAGAATATATTTTTAATTCCATTTTTAGTTCCATTTTGTTTCTGAAGTCACTAATCATTTGAATCACAAGGAAAATGGAAGCTGAGAAATATCATTAAAATCTACCATCAGGTTACCTCAGGATCTCCAGGGGATCCTTGATTGAAACGCTAATGTGACTAGTGGATACCATCGTGTCCCATTACACCTCACCTAATAGGCTCCATATGGACAATCAGGCTGCCTAATGAGCAGATGGGGAACGCCATGACCCAAAAGTGCAACGGAATCTTTAGACTTCAGTGGTGCTGGCCTTGGTGGATGCAGGCATACTTGGGCTGAAGTCTTGGATTTGGACTAGCCTCAAGTTATGAATATCCCAAAATGTAAACAAATGAGATTTAGTCTCTAAACAGCCCAGTTTTGAATGTGAGCTTTCTCTTTTGAACCTTTTCAGCAGGGAACTGAAAATGAAGCAAGGAGAAAAGTACCCCCACAAAGCTCTTTGTTCTGCAACACAAATGTGTATTGGTTTTAAACTGCTGTTCACTTTGAAGACGGTCCAAGGTGCTTCATTTTCTAATAAATACGATACCTTAGACTTTCCTTAGAAAAAATAATATTCCAAATATCAGGAGATAATAGCCAAAGAGCTCTTGAACTTCAATAAAAATGTTAATCAAGCATTCATTCCAAGTCCTTGAATTTCCTTTATTGAAAATCACTCAGAAAGCTAAACATAAAGGAAAAAATCAAAGGAATGCCTCTTGGGTTTCAGAAATAATGCATTATTCATTGAGAAGCCAGGAAGGGAATTATTCTCAGGGTGGAAAATGCCAACATGGAAAATGCATGGTCCCATTATTCATTTAGTTCGAGACGAAAAACACACACAGGCCCCTCATGAATGGTAGAGCATTCTTTCACGTTTCCTTTCTCCTTACTTTTATCAAAGCTCTAATTGAGCTCAAATCCAGAGCTTGATTAACTACTAGCAATGCACAGATATATTTTAAATAGAATGATCTTTTTCCTCCTTCCATAAAGAAGAGAATATTCCTAATTCTCATATATTTGCTTGAGCTGCATGAATTCATTAAAAAGTGAGAGAATGCAAATACAGTCATTTGTTGTTTCTGATTTCTTTCAGTGTTAAACCTCAAGAAGAACAGGATCTTTCCAAAGAGACCCATGGTCTTATAAATTAGCCTATTAGGCTTGGATCCTTGCTAGATGGGATGCAGGAAGTGGGAAATACCACAGTCCGACAGGAGTGAATGTGCGTGGACACTTCATTGAGGAACTCAGAAGCTTCTCCCTTCTCCCTCACTGAAAGGAACTGTTTTTAGTATTATTATTAGGCCCAACCACACTGTGTTTGAATCTTTAAGATTTAATCAAATAATTTCAGTGACTTATAGTACAGGCCTCAGAAATCAATATCAAAAACCAATCATGCAAAATTTCCCCCTCTTCTTCCTTCCCTTCTCTTTTATAGATGTGTCAAGGATCAAACTGACCAAAAGATGAAGACATAATAAACAAGGGGAGTAGGGGGCCTGGAATATTCCAAGGTGATTAGGCTCTTAAGCCACAGTGAACAAATATTCTGAAATAAATTTTGTTCATATTATGGATTTCCTTTTGAGCTTCTAAAAACAAAAATAGATCACACCCAAGCCCCTTTAATAAGAAGTAGCCAACCATCACTAAATCAGGTTACAGGACTTGAGATATCAACACACAGTCTGTAGAGTCAAGTATACACCTGTAAAACATGTCGATGAATTTAGAAAAAAAAAATCCTCCATTTCAGCTCTGTAAAGGGGTGAAGTAATAGCTCCTGGCTTACCCAACAGGATATGGGGAGGATCAAACTGAGGTCCAATTTGCAAAAGCCCTCCTTGCTTGCACATGTACCTGGCCACCATTACCTATTGCCACCATAAAGGTGCAGGTTCAAGTGTAACACAGCTCAAGGACAGAACTTCAAAGCATGATTGAACCAGCAAGACCTGGCATTTCCAAAAAGCTCTGAGACTACACCATCCTGATTATGAGGGGGCTTGAACTTGGGTGTGAGGAGGAAAACCAGAAGGAAAAGAGAGAGGGAGCAAAGGAAGCATCAGAGTCCCAATGATCTGAGCAGTTCAAGAGTCAACACCTACCAAAACGAGGAATAAAATAACATGTACGCAGTAGGAACAATGCTTTTGGCAGTTTGTATTTCCAGCACGTTTCTGAGGGAGGAATTCCTACAGGCCAARGCACAAAACCAAGGAATAGTATGCCATAGTATGAGAATAAGAGGAAGCACAAATAGTTTATGGTCATTTATTGTAATGTCGGAAGCAGAAGTGACAGAAGATAAGATATCCAAGGTCATGAAGGCCTTTTGTATCTGGCTGACAGATGAAATGTTTCCAGTCCAGCGTTGGTTCTTACATATAACAATAGCAGACAGTGCTTATAACAGTGCACATCCACCCCTGCCCTGGAGGATTGTAACCTTGGTGGCCTCACCATTCAGATTTTCATTCAAGATACAACATTAGTGGCAGAGTGGAAGAAGAAAATGATCAAGATAAGGTTAAAAAAATTAGATATTTCCAAATGCTAGAAGGGAAATAATGAGAGCCTGAATGAGGGCAGCAGCATGAGGAAACATGGGTATAGAAGACTAGGAAAGTTTTTAGTGAGTGCAGGATGACTTCTAGATTTTCAACTGGGGAGAAGGAGGTATGGTGGTACCTTTTGCTGAGGAAGAAAACACAAGAGAAAGCATTGACTGGTGTTTTGTTAGGGGAGGTAAGGAGAGAGTTGATGTGTTTTTGCAAGACGGACATCTTGATGACATCATGATGGGCTCAGGGCAGTCTGAGTGCTGGGAAACTTCTCTCTCAGAGTGCAGAACATTCCACCTGATTTGCCAGTTTTACAAGGAAACTAGGGAGGAGGCTATTCAAAACATGCTCATGGGTTGCTCTTCCTTGAACAAGCTTCATTTCTTTCTTACACATCTGTCAAAGCAATATGGGAGGGCTGGGTGCTCACAAAAATGGAGGGAGAGGTGCTGGAATTTAGCCTCAAAAGACAGGGAGGAAAGGGGCTGTTCTGGAACAACAGGTCACAGCTGCGGACCAAGATCATATTACCACACCTTCACTCAGATCTACTAGCCCATCAGCTGAATAATGCTTACCATCTGGTTTCACAATTAAGTCTTTTTTTCCTAACAAGTTGAACTTTGCTTCTTTGCTTACATATGGAATGCAAAAACCAAAGTTAAAGAGGAAAAATGGCCTTGCCAGAGAAGACCTTCAGGGAGAAGCCCAGAATTTTTTTTCCAAGTTTTTTGATAAGAAAAATTAAAAAGAAAATATAAAGCATTTTCAATGTGACTGGCAAAATTGTGTTTTTATAAAAAATTCAGACATCCCACAGATCCAAAAGAAGTCAAGGTAGATCAATTTTATACCAGCACTATGCCAATGTTAGCCTCTTCTTGGGTCCTCTCTCTCTGTTTCTTAAATGAGGATTTCAGAAGCAATCTACCTCAGAAGCTTATAGTGGGGATAAAGTGAGAAAATAAATGTTTCAATACAAAAACTGGTTTTTCTGGTGCCACTAAATTGTGTATTCCCTCAGGGTGGGCAGATTGGTGTCCCAAAATCCAATCAAATTTCAGTTCAGCTCTGTAGCTAAGTTGTTATTTGTGCTATGAAGGTACATGATAAGATAGGAAATCCTTTTACATTATGTATCTTAACCCAAGCTATGTTAGTCCACAGACCATAGATACAGAGCTTACTGCTTGGCTTAGCAGCTAAAGGGTCATTAAAATGAGACTGCATGTAATGGCTTTTGGAGATCAAAGCTTTTTCTGAAAGAACAYCCTATATAATCATAAAATCTTTTTTATTGACCATTGAAAAGACAGAATTTGTTTGACTGAGATATAGTCATAGTATGCTGTTTCTTTCTTGAGACCAATTTTACTCCATCTCACTCAGTGCCCAGAACTTC